CCCTTTTGGGTTCTAACGATATTGTTAAGTTGTTTAGATTGATGAGCAAAACTTGTGATTACTTAAAAAAAACATTTTACATGTAAGGCAACCTCTACCTATACCATTTAGCACCAAGTTCATCAATCTATAGTGTTACCCAACGATTCCCCATATTGTACAGTAATTTAATATTTTTATTCCTTTACCTTTTAAATTCCACCAAGTTAAAGTGCAAAGTTGTCTTCATACACAAATCGAGTTCTATGGACTTTTCCCCCTTGTTTCACAACAATGATATTGGCTTTTACCTCTGTATCATTTCTGAATGAGTGGATTAAGGCAAAAAGGAAGTTGCAAGAATATGAAAAGCTAGTGGGACTGCCAGAGCTAGAATTTCAATGTAAACGATAAGTTCTATGAGGCGAGATGTAACATTCTAAATTTCTCAATCTTGAGTTTAGATGTTAATTGAGGGTGAAGTGGAAATTAATGTAGGATTAGAGATTTGGATGATTACTTGATGATTTGACTTGTTGGTGTGTTATATGACTCGAACATACAGTTACAGTAAATAGTCAAACAATTCTCCTTAATACCTTATAAGGTGCGGTGTTGGAGAAGATCTCCTTAATACCTATTAAGGTGTAGTTTTAGAAATATGAGACTCCTTAGTGTCTATATGATTCAGTGTTAAAGTTAACGATGCTCCATTATGTATATTGGGAGAAACTATAGTCTGTATGTGCATTAGAACATCTTTGATCAAGTGATTCTATCATTGTAGATGAGCTCAAGGCTAATGAGAGTATACATTGGTCTAAGGTGAGCCTATGGTTTCGTATCAAGGTGATTTGGAGGTTCAATCAGTAATAATCATGCTAGCATATTATATGATGCTGTGATATGTTATGAGATGATATGGAATTCTATGTGAATGATGAAAAGTTGAGAATGGAAATGATATATGTGATATAAATATTATTTTAATGAGATTTTAATGATATACTATGCTTTACTTCCATATCATTGCATGTGATAGTTTATAGGAGTTAGTTATTCTGTTACTGAGATTTTTATCTCACCCCCATTGTTACATGTTTACAGGACTGAACAGTAATCAAGGCAAGGGAAGAGAGTCTAGATTGGCTTGAGTTGTGAAGCCTTGTATACTCTAAGTTTGTGTAATGAACTGAATTGAGCATTGTGTATATATTGTAAATATGAGTTGTCATGGGATTTCATGCATAACATGAGTAATGATTTTGTGAAATCTTAGCCTGATTGTATGTTTTTGTGATGAAATGAATCAAGGGGCTATAATTTATGTACGTTTGTATGAAATCGTTGTGAATGATGGTGAATTTTAGGCCCAAGTGAGAAATTATGATGAAATGAGTAATTTGGGGCTAAGATCGTATTGTGAAATGTGTTATGAATATGGATATATTTGAATGTGTCAAGAAAAAGGCCAAGTGGGCCAAGTAATGTCAAGAAATAACAAAGTGTGTGAATATATGAAATGTGAAAATTGGCCGTAAAAGGGTCAAATTTTAATATATGTGTATGGTTGTGATAAATTATGGTCAATCAAGAGTATTAGGTCATTTTAAACTTGATTTAAGGCCATGTGTGGTCTAATGAGAGAAAGTGATCGATTTGAGCTCTTGGGTGCCCAAATTTTTTAGAAAAAGTGACTTTTTTACACCCTAATGTCCAAATTTTGATTGGATTGTTAATTCGTGTCCAAACCTATCTTATTAGTTAGATTATGAGCTAAGTTGTGTGTGAGCTCTTAAATCACTCCAATTGGATGTCGTATGTGAAAACGGTGCACGTCAAAAGTTTGTCATTTTTGCTATCAAAGTGACAGCAGAAAATTGGACAAGTAATTCGCGGCACATGGTGTCACATGTCATGGCACATGACACAGAAAATTTGAGCGTGTGCCTTTGTGCCACATGTTGCGGCGCATGTACTGCACGTCGCGGTGCACGAACCAAATCCCAACTTTATTTTTGTGATAAAAATGCATGCAATGAAAATGAGATATGTCCACTATGCATTAGAGAAGCATATGATTTGTTTTCACTGTGTATTTCTATGATTGTATTGTGATTTGAATGGTTTTATAAAACAAGTCTTGGGCCTAAACTTTTCAAATAAATCTTTTGATTTGTGAATAATATGTGATGTGGTAACTCCTGTAATCTTCTCTTATATCTGGAGGATATAGAAGGAGGTTACGCGAGACAAGTTTAAGAGATAGCTATAGAGTTCATCAATGCCCTAATGCTGTTGCTGTTAAGAGTGAATATGCTAAATTGAAGAGGCTACTAGAAGAATAGATAAAGCTTTTGCAAAGGCTTAAACAAGAAAAAGAAGATGAAGCGCAAATGGCCAAGAGAAATTTGAAAGGGCGAGTCAACGATTAACAGAGGCTTTTACAATTCTCACATCAGATTGGGATTGTCTTTTATTTTCTATAAGGATAAAAATGTCATTTCAATTTAAAAGTTATCGACAAATAAGTCCCTTAAACTTGAAAGGAATCATCACATTTTATGAGACTAAATTGTCATTTCCTTATTTCAGAGGGATTTATCTATCATTTTCCCTATATAGTTTAATATCTCAAATAATGATATTACACTGTTAAACAAATAATGAGATTATGTACAAAAGAGCGGCACTTAAGGAAGATAGGGAGAGGATTCATAATCTTAAACATTAGCCATCTCCACTCCTCCCTAGTCTCTAGGCTCTCTACATAATTACTCTATCTATTAAAAAACGTAAGGTATTTTTAACTGAATATCACCCCAATAAAGTAATTACTTATCTTCAAGCTAATCCTATCATTCGATATTTATCCCTGTTTAATAAAGTGTTTCACCATAAAAAAGCATAAAGTAATCTATTTAATAGGGGCATTTTTGAAAAAAATGTAATAATTACACCTTAAAAAACTCAAAATGCCTTATCTTTTTGAACATCTAACCCCTCAAAAAATGCCTTATATTTTTAAATAGAGGGAATAGTTGTTTAGGATCTAATCAGTTCCTAGTAAGGGTGAGCATTCAATTAGTTCGATTCCAATTTCTCTAAGACCGATTGACCGAATTATTTTAAAAATTTGGATCGAATTGAATTGAAATACATGATCAAACTGAATCGAATTATAATGGTTCAACTCAATTGGTCTATTCGCTTCATGGGCTTTGATTTTGATCTTTAGAGTCTAATTATTCATATATTCTTTTATCTAATTTTTTTCCTTAATGTTGAAGGCCTAACAAAAAAATAGCAATCTTATACCATAATTAATGAGAAAATTAATAAAACTCAACATTATTACATTAAAAACTAAATTATAAAAATAAAAAATTTGAATATCACATTAAACAAAAAATACTATTACCTCAAGTGGTAGAAAGATATTTCTTACTCATCTAAATAAAAATTTATTCACATATCAAAAAATATAAAAAAAATATTTATAATTCGATCGATTTAATTTATTTAATTTAAATCTAAACTAATTAATTGAAATTTTAAAAAAAATGAATTGAACCAAAAAATTAAATTAAATAAACAAAATTTAATTTTCAATTTCGATTTGGTTTTGTTCCCAACCTAGTCCCTAGTTCCTTGGGGGTTTACTGAGAGCACGTCTCTCGTCTAAGAGAGTTTAGTTGCCGCCTTCTTCTTTGTGCTTCCTTGCCACCGCCTGCACTGCGTTTCACCGCCGCTCCTTCTTCTATAGAGTGGTTTCTAATTTTTGGCCGTTCCTATTAGAGAGCTGCTCGTCTGTCTCACTTTACCTCGCATGACCGCTGCCCTATTTTTCACCTCCGCTCCACTGCCACACCGCCTTTCTTTCTTGTGACAGTTCCTCTATTTTCCTCTTAGTTTCTTTTTCTTTTCTTTATTTTTGTTTCCGTTTTCTATTTGCATTTCCTCTTCTTTTTTGTTTTGTTCCGTTGTTCAGCCTTCCTTCCAGCACTGCCTTTCTTCTTTCCCTGTTCTTTCTCGATTCCGCCTTCCTCTTTTATTTTCCATGTTTTGCTTTTCCTCTTTTCTAACCCTTTCGTTTTCCTTTCATCTCTTTCGTCTCTGCTGTTGGGTTTTAAGTTGTCTTGTAATTTAGGATTCATTGCTTTTCTTAATCCTGTTCTCTCTCTGTTTTTTTTTGTTCTTGGCCCCCTTGCTTTGGGTTTGCATGAAACGGGCAGTGTCATGGTTCCCCTTGATGTCCAGGCTACTTGTACCATCTTTTCCTTGTTTGTAGGTGTTTTCTTCTGGGCCTTCTCTCTGTCTTCCTAGTTTGTGTGCACGTCTGTGGCCTAACTATTAAACTGCCTTCTATTAATGGGTCCGTGAAATTGCCTTGGTCTTTAGATCTTTAGTTTCGAGAATTCGAGTAGTCGTGTTTTGACTTCTTGCCTCTTTCTTAAGAACCTTTTGGTTCTCACATCAGTGCCAAACATCAGCGCCTATATGGACTTTTGTGCATGGCTGCACTATCTAAGACGGTTGCAACCAGATTAAGATGTTCACATGTCAAGCTCGTCAGTCTTCCTCCTATCAGCCGCCATCCATTTCAGCAGGCTCTCGATGTGCCGGGCTCTTCGTTTGTTTTATTGAGCCATTTTTCCCCCCTTCCTGCTTTGCTGTTTCTTTTTCAGTCGAATCACTTGATTGGGCTACTTTCTAAATACGTTGCGTTAGTTTTTTTTTAGTCATGAATGAAATTGTCTTTATATTTAAAAAAATGTTTCAGATCTAGCTCATAGTTCGCACACGAGTAACTCCTCTCTCTGACTCCGTCCTGTTCGCAAGAACATTTTTTTAACAAGAAATTGGAAATTAAATCAAGTGACTTCCCCGACCAATTATGGGTCGAGCGGATCTGCAACACGACAACCTTTTGCCGCCGCTTGTTCACAGGCAAGGGCATCAGCAACTACACAAGGAAGGATGGAAGCCAGGGATTAAGACAAAGTGCCTGAAATATGCTGTGATGAAGGTGGGGCCTTCTTACACATAATCATGAATTACAGATAAAGCATTGTCAGCTCCTCACATGCATCCCCACAAAAGCATCTTTTTACAGTTTTTTCTTTTTTATTTTCTTCGCTGACTCGTCGTCAACCATAGACAGAGCTTTCCTGTCTAGGATGCTCGTTACCGTCAATTAAGCAGCTTCCTCGCGGCTACGGAGAAACTCGTTCATATCCATTCATTTGTCACCACCAACAAACACTCCCCAGAGGGGAGCAAGCAAACTAATAAAATACAATGATGCTATGGACGCCTGTTTCTTGAGTCCCCCCCCCCCCCAAACAAAGAAACATGGCCGCTTCCCCACCGACTTACACGGAGAATCTTCCATCTTGCGATATAGAAAAAACAGTCAAAACTTCCCACTACAGAAAGATCACGTTTCTACCCAGCCCTACAGAAAGCAAAAAACGAGGGTATACAAGAGAGAATGGCCTTGCCCTAGATGGAATGATACATGTTACATGGGATTTTGGAGGGTAGTAGTTAAGAAAAGAAGCTAAGATCTACGCTTGTCTTTCTTCTTTTAAAGTAATTTCATTGACAATTAGGGTTTTTACCGGGGCCTCCATAATAAAAGTAATGGCCCCATTCCCCATTACTGCCGGTTTGGACATCGTAGCAGTTTGACTGCTCTGTGAAGGTGCCAATACTTTTGGGTGCCTTGAGATTGTTGGAGCTATCAACAACCTGAATATTCCTGAAGTAGCTTGCCTTCCCAAATCCCTCTTCGGGAAAATGACCGCTGCCCATCTGAGTAGAGGTATGCTGACCCTCCGGCTCCGAATTCACAACCTCCCCTCCCCACTCAATCATGGATGCACTGTCTGCCAAATATGAGAACAAGAAAGACGGCCAATACCCCAACACGTAGTCATTCCCGAATTGCATCCACCAGTGCCCCTCCTTTGGATCCTGCACAACAAACCAACTTCATTCTTTGGAATAACCAAAACAATGGCTCCATCAATTACTCAGGCCTTGGCGAGAAACCATTTGGATCTTACCTTCCAGATAAGTATGCCAATGTCGTACTGGGCATCGCGGTAGGCCGATACAGGAGAGATGCTTGCACCCATTGCTATTTCACTGTTGACCTGAATGAATCCAGAGCACAGGAGATTGTAGCAACCCGTAGCTTGATACGCATCACTCTGCAATATGATGATTTAGGTTTAAAAAAAAAAAACCAGAAGAATCCATTGACTAGACCGATCTAGAATAGAACAAGCACGAAAGCAAATCAGGATAGGCAAATCGGGTGAAAGCTTACCGTCCAGTAGGTGAATAGCCGTGTGTTGTTATCACCATAAAGATCTGGACTAACCTGTTTTCATGCTCGTGTACATATTAGAACGAAAAACAACACAAAAATCAAAGCAGGGTTTTCTAGTAACCCCTAGTAATCAACAGTACCTGCCAACCTGCTTCAATGCTGTTAAGGTCCTCACCAAATGAGCCCCCAAGAATCCAAAGCTGAGACAAGCTAAATTCGTTGGGTTGCTGTATCTTGGGTTCCCACACATTTATGGTGGCTTTGGCTCCGTAGTACTTATCCCCTTCAACATAAGCTATTGCATGCTGATCCAGAAAGAACCACAAGGACATCAGACCAAGGTTGTGTAAGAAACAAGAAAGCAGAAACACTTTTCTTGAGATAATACTAGAAGGAGCTCATGGTAACTCTTGCCTGATGACCACTCTGATTAATTAGATCCGGTTGGGCCGACCTAGGCTTAGGGACTGTCCTGCGCTTCTTCCTTCCATATCTCTTGACTGAACTAGCTCTTAGAACATCATCTTCCTTCGTTCTCCTTATGGGTATGCTGTCTTCTGGGCATTTACCATTTACATGCCACAACTGAGTTATGGGCATTGATTTTTCTTTAGATTCAGACACCTTGTTAACGTCATAAAGCCCTTCGGGGTGGAAATTTGGCCTCGTCTAATCAATGTGAAGCATATAACGAACCACAAAGTCAAAATAAAAACTAACGCAAGGGGCAAAACGAATAAAAAAGAAATACGGTAAAGATCTGGAACAAGAAAAAGGTACCTGAATTTTGTGATCTTTGAGGAAAGGATGATCAAAGGCCGGCTGCTTAGATATATGCACGCAGTCTATAATATCCCCATCTGGACTCTGCGACAATCATAAATCAGACAATGCACACAGAGATAATGTAATGTGGTTTCTAAGAACCTCCTCGTTTGTTACAAATCATACCGTCTAGCGAGGTAAACAAATTACAAGCCCAGGCAAGCACTAGTATATACTGGAATCAATAATCTTGAACAAAACTCGTTATTATCTTAATTTTTTAGCCGAAAAATAGATGTGAAAGGAACTAATCATTACTCAGCTCAGCTCGTGTAGTTTTTCTCATTGCTTCAATAATTTCACAAAGAGGGTTATGATGGGGGACGGAGGAGGGGGGGAAATGAATGGAAAAGTAAAAGAAATGGATAGAGAAAGCTTCAGAAAACGTGAACATCAAAAGAAATACTCTAAATCGAAAAAGAACCGAGGACCGGGATTCAAAAAAATCGGCAGAATAAAATAGTTGGTGATGAAGTGCCCATCTGGTGCTAAAATGAAAAGGTGGGCGTGCGGTGATCTAGACAGAGCTACTCAAAGAACCAGAAGCGAGGTTCCCCCGTTTTTGAAACCAAGAAAGTGGAAAAAGGAGAGGAACCTGGATGGTTTTAATGGCGGGCTTGTTCAGCCGTTTCAAATGCTTGTTGAGCTCGAACTTCCGGCGAGAAGCACCAAGCCTGGCCGCAGAGGATAGGGAGATCAGGCCCCAAAAGAAAAGGAGAAGCAGGAGGGCTCTCCAAGTAAGCTGCGAAGCACCCATGACGTGCAGTCTCACCCACAAAACCGCCAAATGAGAAACACAATCGCGGAGGCACAATGCAGGAGACTGACTGCTGACTACTACTATAGCTGAGCTGACGCTAAAACGCGAAAGAGCATGACCTTCCGATTATAATCCCACCAAGCCCTAAAGACGGTTGCTCTGCTCTCACTCTGCCTGCTCCTCCTCACTGCCCGCTAACCTCCTTCCTTTGAACTCCACCACACCCACCTTGGCCGGCCCCTCCTCCTAAAATGTCATTTTCTCTTCCCACTTTTCTACTATCCCACTGCCTTTTTCCATTTACTTTTGTTTAGTTTTATCGTTATCTTTATGTTGATTATTTTGTTAATTTATCTAGGATTTTGCACGAGGGGCAAAAAGTGGGGGAAGGAGGGGAAAAATTTAAAAAAAGCAAGTATGGGTGTAAAAGTTTTTTTTTTTTTTTTGGTGGGGGGCATGGAAATATGGGCTTCTGTCTGTCCGTTCGCAATTCATTCATATGCGTGCAGAGTTCACGCACCTTTCTTTGTCGTTTCGACCACGAAATCCGAGGGCAACTTAAACCCGCTTTACGGTTTTACCCTTCTCATATGAAAAATCATCTCTCCCTTCTCCAGCGCTCTTCCAAAATGAAATCCAACTAAGACCCATTTTTTATTACTGAAAATATGGTACAGGAGACGGTCCATGCAGTTGCCAATGATGGTGAAATGTATAACGCTAATGACAATTTGTGCATTATTGGATTTGGATGCAAATATGCAAGTGGGTCCGCGATTGCAATTCTTCATCATCCCACATGGGAATCCAATGAACAACCGTATCACTCAAAAAATCTCGTTTTATTGCTATTGCGCCATCATCAGAGAATCACTACCAGCTCGGCGTCTCGTCCACGATCACTTTCTTTTCCTTTTCTCGTAATAAAAATTAATTAAGCTACCCCTGTTATTCGAAAGACACAGATTCCCTCATTCCAATTTTTAAAATAATCTTGCTTTGAATCGTATTCGCAAAAGCTTTCTTATTAAGAATACTTGCCATCTAGAGTTACACGAACATAAACCCTGAACAAGGGAGTCAAATTCTCTCTCCATCTAAATTCACTTGCCCCCTACAATTTAACAAGGTCCGTTGAAGTGCAGGATATCAAGTGCACCGTTACCAGCCGATTTAGCCAATTAATTTGAGCAGTGCTCATCACACTCAATCAGATTTAAAATATTATTTTATATTTATTATAAAAATATATAATTTATCATCAATTAAATTTAGATTTAATTTAGAGGATTGAATTTAATATTAAAATTTTTATAGCCCTTATATATTAATTATTTAGATGTAAAATGAGTCCCACTAAATTTGTAAACCAGTCAGACATCTTTGTAACGCAGAGAGTATGGAATTGTTTGAAACTATTTTTATTTTATTATTTTAAAAATTAATGTTTTGTAAAACATGTTCTGAAGATAAAAAAATAATAAAAATAGGTATTTTTTTATTTTCTCTTATTCTTTAAAACAATAATTCAAAAACACCTAAAAATTATTTTTATTTTTTTGTTCTTCAAAACAATATTTTATTTTTTTATTTTTTAAAATATTTTTTGAAAACATATTATCAAATATATTTTTTTATTTTTTTATTCTAAAAAATAAAAAACTGTTCATAAAACAGATTGTCAAATAAACCCTACATGCTTCAAGTGGGGGCAATATTTTTTGAAAACCACATATAAATTATACAATAGTTTTATGTTATGTCCACACTGCTCTGCTCTTTTTGAACCCACTGACAAAGAAAATAAGAAAGAAAGAAAGAAGCACATATTATCCTTGCTGTTCTGTTCACAATATAAGAGAAGAAAAGACCGTGGAGAAAAAAATTAATTGACAACATGAGGATTTGATTTTTAATGGAATGATTTGCTTATGGGATAAATGTTCGTTAGAGTGCTTTGCTTCAGTTTTAATTATTAATGAATTTTTGTCATTTTGGTTTAGTTTAAGTGGTCATTATAGTTTATTTTAAAACTTTAATTTTCAAGTGATTATAGGTCTTTAAGTTTGTGTTTTTGGGTTTTGAATTTAACTTGTCATAACTCATGACATTAGCGTTTTCATTAAAACTAATCTCTTAATGAAAACACTAATGTCATGAGCATAAGTTTTAAATAAAGAAATTTTTTTTTTCAAAAAACTAACTTATTGGATAGGAAAGCCTTTCACAGTTATAAATCTCACTACACTTGTGAGGTCTTTCAACATAAGACTCATAACACTATATTAATTTTTATTTAATTTTATATGATAATTATTATTTTTATTTAATTTAAAAAAATATTGCCCCACTGGCCTAGGGTTCTAGGTCTGCCACTGATCTCGTAAAAAGACAAAGCTGCTTATTTGTCCACACATAATCAATTTTATTTTTATTTTTATCTGAATAAAAAATTTGAAATTTATATTATTGAAAAACATAATCAATGTCCTTCTAGTGACTTATATTTTAGTAAGTTGAAAGTGATTTAGATTATATGAGTAAAATAAAAATTTACCTCCAACCCACATTTTAAAAGTAAAAAAAAAAACTATGAAAATCTAGGTTTTTTTAAATCTTGAATGAGAATCCACATTATTGAAAGGATTCTTGAACATGCTCCGATTAGATTTTAAAAAATAGGTTTTTGAAGGTTTGAATAAATCCAAACAACCTTGCAATGTTATGGGACCGGAAAAAAGGACTCCTTTCAATAATTAATCCAAATGCATAAACCAAACCAGCCCATAAACTTTCAACGGGGTGAGCATGAGCCGTTGGCAATCCAAGCTGCCCCTAACACCTGCAGGATTAATTTAAATATCAAGCAGAAAGTAAGATGTGAGTGAAAATTTAAACCAATAAAAACTGAAAACTCGCATACTGGTGAAGAGCCTGATAAAAAGTAGGGTGCACCGTGCATGATATTAATGGAAAAATTTCAATGAGAGACTTTTAATTAGAGATAATAAAAAAGAGGATCCTCCAATTTTTGAAATTTCATTTAAAGACCCATACAAATTCTTGTTTGAATTTGTGACAAAAATGATAAAATTACTTTCATTTAAATAAACAACATAAGCAACTTATTCATTTTCATATTGTATATTGTTCATTTATTTACGGACTGTTATTCATTTCTCTATTTTACTTGTTTATAATCCTATTTTCACTTGATTTCATTCTAAGGTCATAAACAAGTGAAATAGAAAAATGAACAACATTTCATAAATAAATGAATAACATATAATATGGGAATAAACTAGTCGTCTTATCATGAGACCAACACTTGAAATAAAATTAAGTGAAATCAAAGCTATAAACAAGTGAAGTAAGAAAGCAAACAACATACAATATGAGAACGAACAAATCATTTATATTATACATTTAAATGAAGGAAATTTTATCATTTCTATCATAAATTCAAACAAAAATCCGTATGAGTCCTTCAATGAAATTTTAAAAATTCAAGAGCCATCTTTTTTATTATCTCTGATTAAGGGTCCTTTACTGAAATTTTTTCTACTTTAATACTAATATAAAGTAGAGTGAATGGTACTTTGAGACTCATATATCAATTTATTTTCATCACAGCATCAAAAAATTTTAAAATTTCAATAGAAACTCTTGTGGATATTACTAATTATAAAATTATTTTTATTTGTAATTTTCTATAACATTTTATATTATTTTTATAATTTTTTAATTAATTAATAATTAAAATTAACTTTTATTAACAAAACACTCTCCTGTTCCTAAATATTCAAGGGAAACATGACACAAAAAATAATTTTATTATCCCAGAGGCTCTTGGACATATAACTTAAGGGTAAAATTATTTTTTAACTTATTATTACTCATCTTAAAATGGCTCATGTTAAATCTTAAAAAATTGTTTGCATATTACTATATAGTAATTAATAAATTGCGAAAGGTAAGAACAATTTCACATCGAACTCTCCAAAATTTAAAATTGATACGCGAAAATTTTAAATTAACTATCATACTTAGAAAAATGCGACGTGGACGACGTGTGAGCAGAGATCCCAGTCTTCACAACGGGAATTAGACGAAACGAAGAGTCGCCACTAAGATTTTGAGGTAAATTTTGAGAAACCGATTAATGGAAGATGAGGTTGATCTGCAATTGAGTGTGAGAAAGGTGTTAGGCACCTTATAACACCCGTTCATCAGAATTTGTTGTGTTATATTAATATAATTTTAAAATTATTTTAATTATCCCTTTTATATTCATGTGTTTGATATAAAAATGATAAGAATTAAGTGAGAAATATTTATTTAATTACGAGGAACAACTTGACTCAGAATCTGACTCTGAGACCTACGTACCTTGTAATGGAGATCAAAGTCCACGTAGTTCAGGTTTAAAAATTGTTAGTGAAAATATTTTTGAAGAAAAATTATTTAAAAATAATTCACCATTTTGCAAATAAAATAATTTCTAAAATTTTGATATATGTGTTTTAAATTATAAAAAGTAATTTAATTTTAATTATTTTCTCAATTTTTGAATTTTTGGAATAAAGAAAGAAAAGAGTTTAAAATTATTTTTTTTATGTTTTATGATTGAGAATTTTAACTGTTATACCTGTAGAGTTTTATTGATTCATACAGTAATGCAGTTGTTTTAAATATCTGCGGAGATTCTAAAATATCACACGATAAAAAAATTCAGTAATTTAATTTATTTATATTTTTAAGTGTTAGTAATAATTTGATTAAGTATGTATATATATGTGTGTGTGTGTGTTTTTAAGAATTTTAATTATCATACCTGCAAAGCTTTATTGGCTTATACGGTAATATAATTGCCCTAAATATCTACAAAAATTTTAAAATCTCACACGATAAAGGAATTAAATTTAAATATATTTTTAATGTAATTAATTTAATATATAATTTATATATGTATTTTAAAAACTTAATCGTTATATCTGCAAAATCTTGTTGACTCATATGATAATACGATTATTTTAGAAGTCTACGAAGATTCAAAAATCTCTCATGACTAAAAGATATAATTGATAAATATAATTATAATTTAAATACATTAATTTGATTAATTAATTTTTTTAAATTATGTATTATATCATTATTTACAAAAATCATTTATTTTTTATAAAAATTGAGAATCACTACACTTGTGAGGACTTATTATCCCACACGATGATATGATTGATTTAAGTCTCTATGAAGATTCT